AAAAACCCTGTATCGAGAGGTCATGCTGGAAAACGCAAGGAACGTGGCCTCCCTAAGTAAGGGACTCCGTTTTCTGGGTTGAAATTGCACTGGAAGCTATTTTCTAGTCAGATGTAAGCAGCTGATTTGTTTCTCGGGAAATGCTGGCCTTTTCTTTTCCTATAGTGGAGGAGAGTGTCCTCATCTGAATTCCTTCTCCCACTCGCTCTGTTAAGAAGGGCTAAAACCTTCATACTGTCTCCCAAAAGAGGAGAGGGGTCCTCCCATGCTCTTTCCCATCCCAGACGGTTTCCCATCCTGCCTGTCCCACTTTGTAGATAGCCTTAGATGCTCTCTTCCTCTTTATGCTTTTCTGCCTACAATAATGACATTTGGAAGTCCTAATAGACACACAGGGATTATCGCAAGGTTGTGACTGTTAGAAAACTGGGCTGTCTGATGGGCCGGGTTTTCAAGAAATGGGACCTTCCACCCAGGTGGCTCTCCCTCCCATTTTCTCCAAAGCTTCCCTTTTCTTAGTGCTGCCTAAGTGGCAAATGCAGAGACACCTAAGGGTAAATGAAGACTTCTAGACTGAGAACCAGTTTTTTCAAGGGAGAGCTTCCTCATGAAAAGGAGGCTGAAGGACAGTTCCCAGGTCCAAGTCCATCAGCACTCAGATCGAAATTAAATGAGCCTGTTCTCCCTCATCAAGTCCACTAATGAACATAGGTAGCATACAAGAGTCCCTCCTGCTTCATTGGAATTGAATCTGGAGCAGTTGAGCTGATCGTGCCCCACCCCGAGACTCTAAATTGTCTTCCCCAAAGGTTTCGGGTGTGCCTTCTGCACCATGGAGAGCAAGAGGGAAGCCTATCACAGATCTTATATCAACCCAATACCAAGCATAGCACCATGTTTTGAACACGCCCTGGCAGAAGCGGGCAGAAGACTCACAAAAAGAGATAAAGGGAAGAAGAGCTGGGGGGGGGGACTTTTGCTAATGTTCAAATAAGGGATGCAACAATGGTGCTTGATCCCTTTTGCACCTCAGTTTGCATCAACATTGCTTTTTTTCTGTTCCAAGCAGGTGACGGATGGGATATGGAGGAATCTAGCCAAGAGGCAGCAGCACTTTTGCCAAAAGGCAGGAAGAAAGTTGTAGAAAGGTTGTTGGGAAACCAAAGGCCTGAGGAAAACCAGTTAAAAGGGGGGCTGGGGAAGTGCTCTACTTTTCAGTGTGCAGATATCAGTATCTTCTGGGCCAAAGACGATCACCAAGAAAAAGGAGTGTGTCCAGGGTCCGGAAAAATGCTCAGAGATGAATGGGGATTATGCGGCTGTTGCAGAATCCACTATATAGAGAAACAAAATGAAAGTGGGAAATGCTCCAGAAGGACCTTTCCTCTTACTTTACATCAGAGAATACAAGATGGAGAAAAACCACATGAATGCTTGGAATGTGGAAAGTGCTTCAGTTATCAATGTCAGTATATTACACATAACAGAATCCATACTGGAGAGAAACCGTATAAATGCATGGTGTGTGGAAAATGCTTCACTAAGTCAGGTTCCCTCACTTACCATAAAAGGATCCACACCGGTGAGAAACCATATGAATGCACTGAGTGTGGAAAACGCTTCACTGAGTCACGTTCTCTCACCTCCCATAAAAGGATCCATACTGGGGAAAAACCATATAAATGCCAGGAGTGTGGAAAGAGCTTCACTGTATCACGTTACCTCACTTCCCATAAAAGGATCCACACCGGTGAAAAACCATATGAATGCACTGAGTGTGGAAAACGCTTCACTGAGTCACGTTCTCTCACCTCCCATAAAAGGATCCATACTGGGGAAAAACCATATAAATGCCAGGAGTGTGGAAAGAGCTTCA